AACAACTGATAAAATCAGAACTACCTTAATAATTAAAGCGGGATCTAGACTTATGTTTTGAAACTACTCACTGTTTTTGTTGCCATTAACGGGGACTTGAAGTCAATAAAAGTAATGAAATGTATCAAAGAATTTCATAAAATCAAATATAACCAATTTATATGGTATATTAAGAAATTAATATGCTTGTTATTACTTAACTGACCTTGAAATAAGTAGAAGTAGATACTACCAACTAAAAAAGATATATTGTCATGTGTAGATTAAAAAATTGAGACAAAAATCAATTGTAAAATAGTTAAATTAAAGAAGATAACAATTATAGTTTTCTCCAAATGTTTAGAAATAACTTTTTTTTTTTGAACATAATTATTTACAGATTAATTGGGGAGGGGGAAAAGGGATTCTGTTGGGCTCGAACGTACAACCCACTGGAGGCAAACAACCCTAACCCAAGATTCAATACCACTGAATCGGAACGGACCGTTCGTTTACAAATAACTTTAATAATAATATATCTTGCAAAATGCATTATATATACAATTAAATAATTTCAATTAACAGAACTATTCTGTTAATTGACTATTAATTCTATTAGTTGACTGTTCACTGATTGTTAAGTGATAAAAATCTATTCTCAACTAATAGAGTTAACAGTCAACTAATAAAGTTAATAATTAATTAACAAAATTAATGAAATATTATAAAATAAGAGTTATTTTCTTCTTTTTAATGGTTGAGGGGCTAAAAATGTTATAGTATAAGATAAATAGTTAAAACTTACAAATTTAATAAAGTAAAAAAAATGTAAAAGTCGGTTTTTACCGAGTAAAAACAAAGTAAAAAAAGGGGACCATCTATTAGGGGTGGGATTGGGTCCCACGGGGTGGGGATTAGACCTGACAAAAATCCACCCGACCCGTCAACCCGACCTTAACCCGACCCTTAAAAAACGGGTTAAAGTTTACATATCTCAACCCGCAACCCGTAGATAACCCGTATTATCAACCCGTACGGGTTACGGGTCGGGTTAGGGTCAACCCGCGGGTTGACGGGTTGACCCGTTTGTTTTATTTTTTATTATTATTTTTAAATAT